TATGAAATTTTGGTTCTTTTGAGACTCAGGTTGATATACTTTAAAGAAAAAAAAAATTAAAAATTTTTTTTTTCTTTAAAGTATATCAACCTGAGTTGATATACTTTAAAGAAAAAAAAAGTTTAAAGTATATCAACCTGATTAAAGAAAAAAAAAATTCACTGATATATGAGAGGCAGAGTGTAATCAAGGGTCATGATGGGTGACCTTTTTCAAAAATTAAATAAAACCAATAACTTTTAAGTTACTTTTAAACCAAAATTCATCTGTTTTTTATACACAAAACTGGAGATACCTAAAAGTCAACATCCTAAAATATGACTGTAATTGCGTTGAACTAAAACACAAACATTTTTTCAAGGGGAAAACCCTAACCTGATTGTGAAATTGTTTGAAAATCGTTTAAAAAACTTTGCACTAAGTACATTTATTATTCAAACCAGATACTTTACAACGAAAAAAACTAGGTTTATTTTAACCTCCTAACCAAAAGTATAATGGCAAAACAAATGCCATTAATATTATTTTATTAATATCTCAATAAATAAATTGGTTTACATACAGTTTTTAATAGTCTAGTGAATAAAAAAAAGCAATTGCTTTTATTCAGCGTTTTGGGAGTAATTGCTCAGCTTTACGAAAATAAAATTTTTATTCACGTAAAGCTGAGCAATTACTCCAATTTGTTTTGACACTTGGAATCCCAGTATTAATAAATAAACGCATGCAAATAATGCCTCGCCTAAGTAAAGTATAGCATAAAGTAATTCATGAATGATAGTTTTAATTATTGGATGACAAAAAAAAAATTTTATCTTCTATTTCCAGAAAACTATTTGGATATCCGGAAAAAATATAAATTTATAGAAATGTCCAGAATTCCGGAAATATCTGGAAAAAGATAATCCCTGGTTATCATTTTTATCAACTAAAAAAAAAAAAAATCAAAACTATATATCTTCAGACTGTCAGCGATGCTCATTTCCTTATAAACATGCTAGATCCTAGATATTTTAGATCTAATATTTATGGATAGGAAAATGAAGCTGCTATGACCTTTGCAGATAAAGAATTTAAGAACTTGTTACCAATAATATTCAAGTTGAAAGCCAAATCTGCTCTATTTGATAAAAGCTATACGTGTGAATCTGTTTTAAAATATGTATCACCAATAGAATGGTGAAAATCTCTAAAATTTTTGGACTTAGATAATGTTTCATTATCATGGATATTGAAGGTTTGTTAAATGCACCACCTAGTGCTGGAATTGAAAGAATTTTTTTGACTATTGGGCTTTTTCATTCCAAGTTAAGAAACAAAATTGGAATAGAAAAAGCGGCAAAACTTGTTTTTATATACAGCTCACTAAATAATGATATATTGGTTGATAAATTACACCTAATATGTTGATAGAAAATATAATTTACTCATTAATTTAATATTAAGTAAAATGACTTTTTTTTTTTAATTTAAAAAGTTGACTAAACATGGCACAGAGTTTTAACCAAAAAAAAACCATAGTTTTTTTGATTTTTTTAAAAAACCCATGGTTCCCCCCCCCCCAAAAAAAAAAAAAAGGTTTTTTTACAACCCTGATTGCAGAATATAAAGAATATAAAGAATGCCTGAAGGACATAAATGTTTGAAAACTATGACTAAAAGAGAATAGGTTGTTGCGAGAAATTCAGCTGATAGCAACAAGGTTTACATTTTGTAAGCATGTTCATTTTCTGTAAAATTGGGATTTATATTGATGAATCCGGTTTAATTTGCATAATTGACAACATTATAGATATGCATTATTGGGAGGTATGTATATTACAGTCCCCACACAGATAAGAAGGAATGTTTGCTGTTGCACTATTTTTGTTAAGGGATGTTTAGTTTTAAACTATAGGTTGGGGCGTTTAATGTTGCTAATATGAATGAGTGGATCAAACAAGATTTGTAATTGTATTATTTAGTTTTACCACCTCACAGCCCTCAATTTATCCTATCAAGGAGTTTTTTTGGCGTGGTTAAAATTTATTCAGAGGAATAAACCACAACCTAATCCACAAGAAATGATTAGCATTACTATTTGAGAATTATTATTCTCACATTAGTGAGTGGGTGTTAAAAAAATTCAACATAACGAGTTTGTATGATTAAACTTTGCTTGGATTTTTTGACTTGATTTGCTGTAAATTTTAAAAAATCAAGTATTTTTATTACAAAAATAATTATGGACGTGACAAAAATAATTGTGGACAATACTGTAATATCTCTAATCCTTAAATAGATTTATACTTAATGCATCTTGTGATTGAAATCTAAAATTACATCTATCAGATACAAGAGTGAAATGATGTCAAATTTTAATTATTTTTTTATAAAAAAATAAAACATTAAGTTATTAAATTAGATTTTATCATAAGTAAATCATTTAAGAATATTATAGAAAAATGTTTTAATATTTTCATTACCATAGACATATTCAAAAAAAAAAAAGAAAATTAAATAAGATGCCATGATATAAACCAACATCTAGTGAATGCTTATGCTCATGCAGATGCAGGAAAATCAAAGCATAATCGGCTGAAAGAAGCACAGGTTTTATAGAACAAATTAAAATCAGAACCATCCAAATAAAGTAAAAATGGTTCTAAGAAAACAAAAATAAAAGAATCTGACTTATTGGACAAACATTCTAGCAAAGAAAACATCTGTGAGTGAACCATTATTGCTGACAATTATAGACAAAACATCATTAGTTGTCAACAAGTTAAAAATCATTACCAGTGAATATGTATAAAAAAGGTTAAAAACAGAATGTGTTGGAAAATATAAAAAAATTGTATACCAGCAAAAATCAGAAAGAAAAAAAAGCGTTTTGATTAAGTAAATGCTAACATATTATTCCTGGTATATTTAAGATACAGAAAGGTTTATTTGATTCAGAAGCAGTAAAAAGGAATTGAAGAACTTGACTATATTAAAGCAACAGAAAGATTTAAGTGATTCAGAAGCAGAAGAAAAAAAATTGAAAACTTGAAGACCAACAAAAAGAAAAAATAACAAGCAATCATACTGTTCTTCCAACAAAAACATGAAAAAAAGTTCTGGTAAAACTTGTCAAAGCACAAACAAATGCTCTCAAGAATACAGTTGCCCAGTTTAGTTTGGCTCTCATCAGGCTTGCTATGGAGTTATGCACACTTATAAGTGCACAAAACACCATGTTATTTTTGCCTGACGATAAAGCTAAAATAGTTCTTGTATTCGCTGCAGATAGTAAAAAACAACTTATGATTGGTAAAGAGTACCAAATAAAATTGCTAGATCACGGTAACTGTGGTAGCTGAAAAGCATAAATAAAATAAATAGTCTATGAAAACTAATAAAAAAAGAAATACTTTCGTACCATAAATGTCTTACCATTGATACAGTGTTAAACAGTCATCAAGAAAAATGCAATGTATGCAGAGGCATACTCATGCACTTTAAGTAGGTCATATTTTTTTGCCACCTGTCAGTGCTCCTACTTCAAGATATTAACCTTGATGTTACAAATTAAATCTTAAACAGCCATCTATATCTATCAATCTCTGTTGTGGATTTGGAAAAGAGACAAGTTTGTGGCATGAATTTACAACTGTTGCAACCAAGACATTTATAATTACAGCCATTAACACATTTTTCATCAGGGGCTATTCTAGGAAAATAATTTGGCGACAAACTTCATGTCGGCGCCTTTCTGTATATTTTTTTGCTGTATATAGGCAATTTTTTGTCTAAATAAAAAAGTAAAATAAAAAAGTTCTTAATTTCTGAATTTGGGCGGCGCCCTGGTCACAGACAACAAACACACAGTATTACTGAACGACAACAAATAAATAACACAGTAATTATTACGGAAGTAGCTGGAGAAATAGTCAAAGTCTCCAACATAAGGTTCAGATAAATTTATCTGTTCACCTGCTTATGTGAACTGGGAATAGCTATTTTTGTAATTCTCCATGGACTCCTGATATTGAAGAAACAGTTAAGATAAATAAAATAGATAAACAAATGTTTTAAATAATATGTATGTGCTAATAATAAACTTTATTACAGCCATATTACATATGGCTGAATATGAGCAATATAAATTCAGGTTTCCTTAGGAACAATCAAATCTGCTTTTACTGAAAACAGATTTGTGAGCGCTCTCACCCTTTTAGTGTGATCAAATGATTTCACAAATAGGGTGAGTGGGTGGGTCTACATCTAGGGGGATTGGATAAACCATGAAAGGAAGAATAATGCTTTAAAAATAACCATTTTTGGTGTGATATAGTTATCCAATAAACCCTAAAACAAATCATTTCATCTAATAACTTAATTAAATAAAAATTTCAATAGTTATTATATTATATTAATAGGGTTTGTTTTTACCATATTGTGACAAGGGTGTCAAAAACAATTATATTATATTAATAGGGTTTGTTTTTACCATGTTGTGACAAGGGGGTCAAATACAATCAAAAATTATGTGACATAATTTATGGACGAAATCTGATAAAATGTTTTAAAAATAAATTTTTTTTACTTTGCACAATTTTGTTAATTTTTTTAAAGACATTTTTTTCAAAGAATATCAAGCAAGAGATATTAAGCTTATCACACACAACCCTTGTGGTCGCAACTTATCGCTCAGCCAAGTGATCTTTTCAAAAAGGTTAATGTTCAAAGCTATAGTGTTGAAATAGGGTTTAGGAAAATATTTTGGGTTTAAAGGTTTTATTATAAGCAAAAATACTTTAGGGATACATTTAGTACAAAAGGAAAATAAACTACAATAAACTCTGAATAGTACAACCCAATTCCTATTTTAAAACAAAAATATCAAATTTGGTAGTAAAAAAAAAAAATTCAAAAATATAACATGCTTCACTTCAAAAAATGTCAGTTATTTTTGTGATGATACATTGCAAGTTATTTTTTATATTATTAAAAAAATACTTAAAATAGAAACATACTCTTAAGTCTTTTCGCATGTTGACAAGAAATCCAACACCTTCAGATAACCTGCTGATATCATCAAAAAGATGTTTATATGTTGGAATTAAGCTCAATAAAAGCTCCTCTTGATTTCGATTAACTAATGTTGATTTTTCTGTCTAAATAATATATATATATATATATATATATATATATATATATATATATATATATATATATATATATATATATATATATATATATATAAATAAAATATAATATATATATATATATATATATATATATATATATATATATATATATATATATATATATATATATATATACATATATATATATATATATATATTTAAATATATACAGCACAAAAGGCCTATAATAAATAACTAATAAAATAGCACTTGAGGGTTTTCACAATTTTCACGATTATAAATGCTTAAGTATAAGTATATACTTTTTATTTTTTTAATATATATATCAGCATATATTTTTTAATATATATATATATCATATAAAGCAGTGTTAAAAGCAGATTTAACAGACAATTCATAATACTTAAAAGCAACTGTTAAAAATAGATACAACACAAATATGAGCATTTAATGTGGCCTCCTTTAGCTTTTATTATTTTTCATTATGAAAACACAGTAAGACTTTAAATGCAATGCAAATCTGGTCAACATTAGATGATTAGCTGTTGTTGTCTTCCTGGTAAACACAATAGTTCTTAGTGCCACACATTGGCACACAGAACCATTTGAATGTTTTAATTCCTTCTCTCATTAACTGAAAAAAGATGCTTTGAATGAAAAAAAGAAGTTAATTGTATTTAAAAAAACTTGACTACACAGTTTACCATTTTTACATTAGCCACACTAACTGCCTATCTGATATCACTATGATTAAAATCTACAACCATAAAGCACTTGTAAATATACCACAATTAATTTAAGCTTTTTAATTGACAGTTTAATTGACTCATTTGTAATTATATTCATATTGACCCATATAAATAATAGATAGATGAAGGAGACAAAAGACAACATGTGTTTTATTTCATCATTTCACTTAATCTACTAAATTGAATAAGATTGCACAAACAAGAATTTTCAACATCTCTAGTGTCCCAATCGTACTCTAAATAAAGTTGCCTCAATTGCGGACCTTCAACTGAATATGGAATTGCTTTTAGTCCTATAATAAGCATGAAGTTTAAAAACTTAACTCTTTTTTTATCTCTAGACTGCTCTGACAAACTTTTGTGAAGCCTTTTTAGTTCTTTTGCATTATTTAAAGCTGAGTAACATTTTTCATTTTCCTGGGATTTTATTAAAACCAAAATGGGTACAAAAGAGCGCCGGATTAAACTGATTGTTGACCCTTTTCTTTTTTCGTGTAAAAAACTGTTTGGAAACAGGCAAAAATAGTCTGTAAATGTATATCTATATATGCTACACGGTGTATATATATATCTATATAAAATTAAAAATCAAACATTTACAGGACGCAGTAATTATAATTAGTTTTATTTATGATAAAACCAATCTAGGCATACCTCCAACCCCAGATTTGTTTTAGTAAATTTATCACTAATCAAATAACAACCTATGTTGCTTACAATGTCTGCTTACAGACATTGATTGATTTTAAGTTGAGATTGATTTTAAGTTGTCAAAAAGATCATTTATAAATATAATACACAACCTTTAACATAATACAGCCCAATAACAGTTGCTTGGGGTAATTCACTTGTAAGTTACCAACTTGGAATCTCCCATGACCTCTTTTTGATTTTAATTAGATAAAAATAAGGATATCTATTCATGAACCTTATAAAAAAATTATTTTCTAAGTTTATAAATTAAATTCTTGTAGGAGGCATAAGACTTAGCAAAATCTAAAAACATAATATCAATCCAAAAATTCTTGGACATAAAATTTGTTATATAGCCCATACTTTCATATAAATTTGTTTTACAAGATTTATCTTTTAATATCAATCAATCATCAATTTGTTATCATGCAGACAAGTCACCATTTCTTGACAACCCCACAATACTGATATTAGATTATTCATTTTGTAATTTGCAGTCTCAATAGCTCTTTTATTTTTGAACAATGGATTTGTTAGCCACTAGGCAGGCAGATGTGACAAATTATTGGTCAAACAATTTTTCATTAAGTACTGCTAGAGGTAATGTGCAGTTATTAGCAGATTTGTAGAGAGCAATAAATCGTAGCAATAATGCATAGTCATTAGCAGATTTTGTAGAGAGCAAATATATTTTGTCTGTTCCAGCTGTTCAAGCATTTCAAAGAGAAATTTAACTTTTTTGATAGATTTTTGATCCAGTAAAAACTTTCAAAAATTTCACAAAACATTTTTTATAACAAAAAATTAAATATAAATAAGATTTTTGTTTATAATTATCATTTTTAATTTCAAACTAAACTTTGTAACAAAAATAAGTAAAGTAATAAATTCATAAAAAATAATAAATAATAGTAATAATTGTAAGAAGAAGTTATTAATAAAATAAAATTAGGAGTTTTTTTAAAAAACATCAGTACAAATAATAAAAAACAATTACTATGCTCTTATGTAACTTAACAAGACTGGTTTCCACTTGTTCAGTATCAATACCAAGATTAGTAGACAATGCTTGAAATAACTCAACTTTGCTATTCTAAATGTTTTATTCTAAATGTTTAGACTTGGATAATTACTTAAATTAGATTTTAAATATATATATATATATATATATATATATATATATATATATATATATATATATATATATATATATATATATATATATATATATATATATATATATATATATATATATATATATATATATATATATATATATATAGATTTCTCACCGCATTTGGTAATGCATTATAAAATGAAACCAGATCTTTTGCAAAATACTAAATACAAAAGTAATATTGTGAAATTAAAATAGAGAAAAAAATTTAATTTATATTTAATATAAATATAAAAATAAAAAAATGTATTTAACATAACATAAATATTACATAAGGAATTAAATCACCACTTTCATGACTTCGTTTTGAAGACAATGCTGTTGAGAATTTTATTTTTAACTCATGGCTGCTCTCTTTATTTAGCAAAAGAGATACCCAGTTACTGTTTCTCTAAAAAAAAAAGTAAAAAAAGTAATTAAGATAATAGAGAATACAATATAAAAGAGAATGTTTGTGCATGCATGTGTGTACGATTTAAAAAAAAATTTAATTTATTTTATATTAGTTTTCATTTTTATTTCTAGACTTTAGAACAATTTTTTTTTAATTTTTAAATAATTCTTACTATTTAAACATTGACAAAAATATAACAATATTAAACTGTACATTTAAGACAAAATGTAAATCCCAGAACTGTAATATTTAACTCAACAAAAATAAAACATACAGATTAGATATTTTATGTGAAAACATCTCATTTTTAGGGCGAACCATAGGATACTAACAATTAACACTGATATCACCAATATGAAAAAGACAAATAAAAATTAATTAGTTTTACAAAGAAAAAGTAGATTTAATAAATTTCGTAAGATTCAATGATTCATAAGATTCAACGAAAGCAAAATTACTTCAAAGAATATAAATATTTGTAAAAAATATATAGGAACAAATTAGTATTTTTAGGTATTACAACAGGTATTATATGTTTTAAATTATCAGAACATAGACTCAATGGTAGATAGAGAGAGGCTTGTGCGTGCGTATGCGTGTGTATATGTATGTATGTATGTATGTATGTATGTATGTATGTATGTATGTATGTATGTATGTATGTATGTATGTATGTATAACTATATATACAGTAAAATCCTTGTTACACAAACTTCAGAGACAAAAGAAAATGGTTTAACAAATTTTCAACTTAAAGGGATCCCCAAGTGCTATAAAGATATGATCTCATATGAAAGAGCATTTAAAAAAAAATGTTTAATGTATATTATTTTTTTTTAAACGTAATAATGAACACACGCTAACAAATTTAATTTTCAAAAAAACGCTTTTCTTTGATTCAAAAAAACGCTTTTCTTTGATTCAAAAAAACGCTTTTCTTTGATTAAAAAAAATGCGTCTTGTTTAAAGTTTATTGACTCTATTGCCTCAAAAAACTAACGTTTGTACGTCAAATTAAAAAAGTAGACAAAATGCCATTATTGCAAACGTATTAGTTGGTAATTAAATTTAAAAGTAAAGTCGTTTTTTTTCAACTAACACATAATTACTTACAAGAATTAGTTTTGTAGCATTTTGTGAAAATATATTTGTATATTAAAAATTTTTGTTTATATATTTGTGTTATAAGGGCAATTCTACAGCCAAAAATGAATAAAAGTCAAATTTTAAACTCTTTTTAGTCAGTTTTAACAAAATGAATATTGATGTAGACACATGAAAGTTTATTAAAAATATTTCCTTAGTACAAAAATAAATTTATTTCAGTCATTTTTATGGTTTCGAAAGTGACGGTTATTCTCATTTTCGCTTGATAAAAAAAATAATTATTGTAAAATGTTTTAGTTAAATGAACATTTATGTTAATTTTGCTATATTTTTTTGGTTCATATTGATAAGGATGAATAGACATTTTATTAGAAATTTAATTAAGACAGGACTCAAATTAACGCAAAAAAATCTAATCGCTAAAAATTGTTTTTTTTTTTGCTACCTCCTCTCTCTCTCTTTCTTATAGCTCGCACTGATGTGCGGTAATAAGGAAAAGGGGTTTTGTTAGTATAAAATTGTCTGTTTAGCACGTAATTGTTATCTTTTAACATACTATCTCTCATATTTAAATGTTAGCTTATGATTTTCTTGTTTGGAAATTAGGAGTTTAAAATAGCGTAAGTTACTGTTATAATTTACAGCTTAATTTATAATTTAAAGTTTAAGTTGCAGTTACAATGTAATGAGCAAGTAACGTATTTAATACTATTAATTAATTATTTTTACTTAACATGATACTTAAAAAAGAAAAATTAAAAAAATAAGAGTAAAAAGATAACATTACTATATTTTAGTGACGGATCTTGGGGGAGGATAAACACTTCATTTTTACTAACCCTAAACTGTAAACTGTCAATTTGTTTTGTTTTTAGTGTTGTCAACACTGTACTGCATAAATGGCGGCAAATCTTGCCTCTAACTATGCACCATTGAGTACTTAGTAACTTATTACATATAAAATATAAGTTTTTCTTTTATTAAAGGTACTGATTGATAGAGGTCATTTTTTTATTAGAAGGATAACTAAATGAAGTTAAGGTATCAATAAAGTATAAATATTTATTTGATAAATGCATACTGCCATTTCTTTTATTTTGTACTTAGGGTTTTGTGTTGCTGTAACAATTTTTTAATGCTTTGTAACATTAGTTAACAGTTATATAATTTATATAGCAGTTGATGTAATGCATATAGCAGTTAAGTTGATGTAATGCAGATACAATTAATTAAAAATTGTTTATTTGGCATTACTTGTTGTGCTTAATTTTTAAATAAAGCATCAAATACTATTATAATACTATAAATACCAAAATATCACAATTTTTTGTGATATTTTGGTCTGATTAGTTCAAACTGCCATAAGATATAAAATAAAGCTACAATAAAAAATAATCAAAAGAAATCATATCTATTAAAACTATGAAAAAAAACAAGCAATAGATTAACTGACATCAAGCAAATCATATTTTGATATTTCAATGACAATTTTAAAAAAAAAACCTCCCGCTATTTGATGCAATTCAAATACCATTGTGATTATTCAAAAGCAGCAGTATAGGCTTTATCTAATGATTTATTAATAGTTAATCTCAAGAAATCCTTCTAATTTTATTTTCATTAAATTTAATTGTAATTATTTTGAGGTGCATCCAATTTAATATACAGCTGCAATCCTTGTCAAGCTCTGTTCTCCTTATTTAGTTATATATAATAATTTTTGGCTTGAAGTATCAATGAAAATATATAGTTTTTTTCATTTATATAAATTATATAAGTATACATTTTTTTGAAATTTTAATTATATAAATGAAAACTTTTTGTGAAAATGATAACCTACTTAACAAACTTCATATAAAAATCATTAAAGTTAATACACTAAAAAAGCTGAATTTCACTATAAAAAATCAAATCTTTATTAAAGAGATCCCAAAGTGCTGAGACAAGTTGTGGTTATTTTAAAGAGAATGATAAAAAAAAATGTTTGGGCAGAATTTTTTTAAGTAAAACAAAATAATAAATGTATACCAACAAAAACAAACTTTGTTGTTTTACTCGAAGCTCATTGTTTCCACAGTAGCTATTCTCTGAAAGTCTTCAAAATATATGCCGCAATCTACAGACTTTATAATTTATTCAAGCGCGTTTAATTCTAAAGAGTTTTAGTAAATGACGTCATTGTAGAATTTTGTTAAGAAATCTGAAAATTCTTTTTTTTAATCAAATTATAGATTTTTTTTTAATTATTATTATAGATGACTAAAAAATACTTTTAGTTACTTATTTTATATAAAAAAAAAAATTTATCATAAATTACTATAGAATTTCTTTAGTTATTTTATTTTCTAACTTTTGCAAAGCTCGCATTAAAAATATAAAACATTTCAGATATTTTAAGCTCGTCTACTGCTATAATTTTTTTTTTGTGTTATATTTTATTGTTATTAAATGATTATCATCCTTATTAAGATTCTGTTAAAAAAATTTTGTATTATTCAACACTACTGCATGCCGCTGACCAGCTTTTGATTTTTTCAAATTTTTACCGCAAACTGCTGGTAGAGTACACTTCACAATTTATCTTGTTTTGTACACAATTTTTACTCTAGACACATAATTTGTTTGTTCTTAAGGTTTAATTCTCTACATAATCGAGAATAAATAAACCATATTGTGTTATTATAAAAAGTTATCACTTGACAAATTTAAAAAATCTTCAGTAATCCTGACTTTTTTTAAAATTTCTTTAAATTTAGTTAAGTTTAGTAAAATAAACCAGCGTTAACACTGTAAAATTTAACTCGTAGAAATGTATAGGTATTTAGCTAAGTAATTAAATTGTTTTTTTTTCGTCTCAAAAAACATTCTCTCTATACATTAAATGAGTTTTGTTTTGGAAATGTTTTAATTTAATTTTATTAAATGTTTTAATTACTATTTATAAAACAATAGTTTTAAGCACTTTGCATTTCTTATTGTTCAATGATGCGTGTTAAAAAGTTATTTAATAAAAAATTCATTTGTTTAGCTCTTTTAATGTTATATAGCTTGCTATGTTTTCAAAAAGATTTACAATTCGAATTTTAATTAGTTGTCAATGCCTTTCAAATTTTATTCAAAAAAATGTGTGGTTACAGCGTAAAAAATTTTGTTAAAATGGCTGGTAGCGAAAAAGTGTTAACCTTATAAAAGTTTAATTAACAGCATTTATTTGCTAAACTTTTCCTCGTTTACAAGTATTCTCAAAATTCTTATTTAATCATGCGAGAATATATTTAATGAAATTCATTTTGTAAAACATTGTAAAACATCGCTTACTTTATTTTATTTTTAAAATTGAACAATTATTGGTCAAGATTGCAAAAAAAAAAAGCATTATCGAGTAAACTTTACAATTGACATCGTTTAATGAAAAGCTTTTTATTGTTAACTAAACTTGTTAATAAAAAACTTTTTATTTGGTATTTTTATTTGTAATTTTAAGAGACAGGTTAATATAAAATACCTGCCAAACACGACATAAATTGAAAAGTACTAATTCCAATATGTTTTTTAACGCGCGTTGCGATAATTTTAATTGCCATCTGTCTTTAGTTATTGCCATAAAACATCTGTAAATTTGTTAAGTGTAAAATTTATAAATATTTTCTAACTAAAAATTTAAGAATTCAGCAAATATCTCTAATAAATGATGTCGTTTACCGAAATTCTTTATTAATTAAAAATTTAGGAATTTGTAAAATGTCAATTCGATAGGAGAACAAAAACGTCATAGTAATAAACGGCTTAAATAAACTAAAAAAAAATCACATTGTTTACATAAAAAGAAAAAAAGATTCAGAAAATATAAAAGGTGATCAACGACTTTTTTATATATTTATTTTATCTTAGAGTGTAATATAAATATCTTAATTTTATTTGGTTCTCGTGCTCTATAATAAAAACATAATTCTTATGTTTAGCTTCCTATAAAATAAGAAACTCACACGATCGATAACAAAAGCTATTTTAAAAAACAAAGAAAAAAATACAAAATAATATTGATTGATAAAAAAAATTCTACAATGATGTCATTTACTAAAATTCTTTGGAATTAAACGCGCTTTAATAAATTATAAAGTCTGTAGATTGTGGCGTATATTTTAGAAACTTTCAGAGAATAGCTTCTGTGGAAACGGAGAGCTTCAAGTAAAACAACAAAGTTTGTTTTTGTTAATATACATTTATTATTTTGTTTTACTTAAAAAAATTCTGCCCAAACATTTTTTTTTTATTATTCTCTTTAGAATAAACACAACTTGTCTCGGCACTTTAGGATCTCTTTAAAGGCATTTTTAATGTTGAAAAGATTTTAAAATCAATACTTAAGATTTTTTAAAGTATTAATGAATATTACACACAACTTTTGTTTTCTTTATATATAATTATGTATTAATGACAAACAATATTCTTTCATATTATACATCCCAAATCATCAAAACAAAATTATTGAGTGGTCATATGATGGCAAGCCTAAAGTAATAACTTTTTTTTTCTCTCGCTACCATAGATTATTTAATTATTGTTATAATTTTGGGTTGCGCGGGTCGCTAATTTTCTTACACTTTTGATTGGTTATCATATTTGAGGTATCTATGACAGCGTTAGAGTTTATTGAATACTTTTGTTTTTTTGATTAAAAAAATTTTTTTAATTAGGTACACTGCTTTCTGATTGTTTTGGTTTTTTTTTAATGCTTAAAAGTAACTTTAAATTTAAATTTGGTTTTATAGGTCTTTAAAATAAATTTATTAGTATTTTTGTGTTTTTATTAGAACTTTAATTTATTGTGTTTTCATGTTTTCTTTTGGTGGTATTGTGATTGTTTCATTTAGTTATTTTTATTTTTGTTTGTTCAGTAGATCTACACTTATAATATCATATTAACGAAAAAAAAAAAATGGTGTTTTACAAATTTGGGGTTGGTTGGGTTTTGGCTATTTGTAGTGAGTACTTTTTAACTCCAGTATGGAATGGACGTAAATTGCGGGGTAAAGCACAAGTGGCGATGATGTTTGTCTGACGGGATAAACTAGTTATAAGTGCTGATCCTCATCGAAACACCAGTAATAATAGATGCGACTCTGAAGAGATGTTTATTACTTAATCACTACACTAATTATGTTTACACATCAGCATTAATCTTTTATTTCCATTCTTAGGCCTTCCATTGTTAGCATACTTTTTATCTTGTAATCAACTTTTTATCTTGTAATCAACTTTTTGTTTTATAAGTTTTTGTTTGGTGATATTTTTGTTGTATATCTTCATTCATATTAGTGTTTATATAACAATTTATTTTTTATCATTGTTTAAGTACTGTTTTGAGTGCATTGTCTGTCTTATTTATTTTTAAATCTTCCTCTTATCTTTATATTTGTATTGACAACTGTCAAAACATGCTTTGTTCAAAAAATAATTCTCCTTTATTCTAGCGTACTTCATTTCAACATTTTCGCTTCCAAAAAGGTTGCAAGCGACCACTATTAGAGTTGGATATTTTAGGAAAAGAAAAGATGAAGTTTATAGAGCAAGATAACAATTGACCGACAACTTAAAATATTGCAAATTATATAAATCAGGTAAACAAGATAAAGGAAGCGAATTCCAATGAACTGATGCTTGAGGAAAAAACTGGATGAATAGGAACTTTTAGAGCACTTAGAAACAGTGGCAATAAAATGATGAGACTTAATAGAATGACGAGTAACAGGAGAATGAATTTTAGTAGATAGCACAAAAGGTGCTATCTCTTTAGAGCAGTGCCCATTATAGTATTTATAAAAGAGAAGTAAAATTACAAAAATGTGATAATGGTTGGAAATCGGCTGCAAGAGCAGATCCAATTATATTATCCAAGAAAGATAGAAGGTAAGAGTTAACCCTAGAAGATGAAGGGTAGATGACTCATCAAGTACATTACCGATCATAAATATAGGAAGATCTTAACAATTCTGATAATGACTAGCTGATTAACCAAAGATTGGCTGAAAAAATTTGATTTTTTCTTGGGGGACCCCTTAAAATATTTTTTATTCAAAAAAAATTTTAAATCTAGTGTTATTTTATTATTTTGCACACATTTAGAGTTTGTGCCTAGTTTTTTGAAAAAAAAGTTAAAAAAAAAACCACACTAATATATATATATAATATATATATATATATATATATATATATATATATATATATATATATATACACACATATATATATATATATATATATTTTAATTCACCTCCTCAAGGCCGAGAAGGCCACTACAGACGAGGAGGCTACTTATTTGTGGCTATAAACCTCTCTCAACTCTATAACTCCGAAACACGAACCTTGACGAACAAGGCCGCTGCGCGGAGAAACGAGTTGAGTGCGGTACTACCAGGGACATGGTGGGGATCGAACTCGGAACCACTCGTTTATGAATTTATATATATATACATATATATATATAAACATATATATATACATATATATATATATATATATATATATACATATATATATATATATATATATATATATATACATATACATATATATATTTATATATATATACATACATACATATATATACATACATATATACATATATATACACATATATATATATATATATATATATATATATATATATATATATATACATACATACATACATACATACATACATACATACATACATATATATATATATATATATATATATATATATATATATATATATATATATATATATATATATACACACACACACATATATATATATACATATATATATATATATATATATATACATATATATATATATATATATATATATATATATATATATATATATATATATATATATATATATACACACACACACATATATATATATACATATATATATATATATATATATACATATATATATATATATATATATATATATATATATATATATATATATATATATATATATATGTATATATGTATATATATATATATATATATATATATATATATATATATATATATATATATATATATATATATATATATATATATATATATAAACAAATTCCTGCTTTGCTCTTGCAAGAAGCAAAGCAGGAATCAGACAACTTAAAAGATTGAAAATTATATGAAATCAGTAAAACAATATAAAGGGAGCAAATTATGACAATCAAGCAAATTTTGTGCAAATATTAAAAGTTTACAATAACAACAATAACAGTTGGAAAAAACAATAACAGTTAAAATAAACACGCAAAATATTACCTTTAAACCATTTTTCACCAATCGAAAAGATTTGAGATAATTACGTACATTGAGTAAGCCTCGAAGCATTTTTGTTAATTTTTTAAAATTGACATATTTTATACAGAACTTCTAAAATATAAAAATAAGCTCTGCTTTTTACATTTAAACATAATTTTATTTCTTATATTTAAACTTTATTTTACTCCTATTTAATCTTGTAATAAACATTCTATTAAAATTTTTGATTTTATTTTCTATATGAAGCTTACATAACATTTATTGAAGATTTTAAACCAAAAAAAAAAATATAGCATTAGAAAAAAAAAAATTTAAATAATTAAAAAAATACTTATATCATAATTTTAATTTTATAGATATAATAAAAATTATATTTTGTAGATATAATACGAAATAACATTTATAGATATAGTAAGCTTATTACATATATATTAAAGTTATAAATATAAGTATTAATATAGAGTATTATATAGAGTATTATTCAAATATATTACATTTTATATATTAGTATTCAGGTCATTAAAAAATAATGGTAGTTGTAAGACGATATAATTTTGTTTAATAATAAAATTGTGTTTAATAATAATATTATTAATAATATCATTAATAGCAATTAAATTCTCTAAAACTTCTAAACTTTTTACTAACGCAAGTATTTTTATTCAAAAAATTTAGTAAAGCAAAACAAACAATTTCCATAAATAATAAATTGATTTAATGATCAACAAATGAAATAATAAATTGTTTTAATGATCAACAAATGAGATATCAACTAAAAAATTAATGGTTGTGTTTAAAATGTTAAAAAAAACAACAATGCTTTTTTTAAATAGCACATAAGGCTATATGATACTAAAATGACTTCTAAAAGTTTTATTCAAGTATATTCCAAAAATAGAATGTTTTCCATGTAGCATGCAGTGAAACATATCTTGAAGAGTTGCAACTAGACACTGCACATTAAATTCAATACAGCATTTAAATGTTCAAGGTTTCGATTGGTGCCTTGGTTCTAAATCAGTTGCAAGAGTATCAATTTCCTCATCATTGTAGATGTTTTCAGCCTGTAAATAAAAAAAATTAATTACAAATCATACAAAAAATCCTTATAAAATATTTTTAAATCAATCTAAATGAAAAAGTTATGACCAAAAACTAATTGCCAAAAATTAAATTAAAAAAATTAAACCCAACATTTGCTTTCAAGCTAAACAAAGCAGTTACACATTTTTTTTTTTAAACTTTAGAATAATATTAGAAAATTAAAAAAGAAAGCAATAAATTAATTTTGTGTTTAAAATAAATTTTTGAAAAAAAAAAAAGATTTTATGAAGGAAATTAATTAAGGAAAATTGGAGAATAAAAAAAATTTCGTCCTTTGGTCATAAATTGGCCAAAAAAGTTTCTAACTAGCAATGTAACTATCATACAAGTTAGCATTTGTAAATATTTCATAAGTACATGATTAAACCTGTCACTCTACTATCTAATCATATACTGGTATATTTTATACATTTAGGAATTTACTCTACAATTATTTTATGCATTATTGGAAGAATGGTGTATGTTACTTCGAATTTAAATACAAAGTTAAAATCATTTAACTTATTTTAAACTAAAAAAAAAACCTTATACATTAAAAATACCTGAAATTTTTTTTTACTAAAAATTTTAAAAAAACTTTCATTTTTTAATTTAAAAAAAAAAAAAAAGCTTAAAATAATGAAAAAAATTTTGTATTATATTATTTCTATTTTTATAATTATTTTTGAAATTTAAAATTTCGCTTCTTTTGAGACCCAATTATATATTTTTGAAACATTTTTCTTGGGTATTTGGTCTAGTTTCATGGTCATGTTCTAGTTGAAAAATTCAGACCTGAGTTGGCCCCCTCCTCCTAATTCCAATTACATTTTAGAAAAACTTAACAGAGTTATTTGTGCGATATTTCTTGAAAGGAACTCTGTTAAACCCTTCAAAAATGTAACTGAAATTAGAGAGTTAATTGACAATAGAGTGTAACTGACAAAAGAGAGTTTTAAGCATAGGACCAGATCTCTTTTTAAAAATAAGAAACTTTGGATGCATCCTAATAAACATACAATTATGGCCAAAAAGATTTGATCTTTCATAATTATTATAGATGACTACAAATAAATTCAATATGTATTGGCAACATGACCAACACATTAAATAACCATTCATTGTATAGATCAGGGGTGTGGAGTTAGTATAGATCAGGGGTGTGAAAAAAAAAGTAATGACTTTGACTCCAACTCCAATCATTGATATTTTTGACTCTGACTCAAAAGCAAAATTTTTGAAAAATTCTTTGAATTCTTTAAAAAAGATTATGCAATAAGATAAAAAAATTTTTTTTGCTAAATTTATGAAAGGTTTTTTGAAGGTTTAGCATGAATATAAGGTTAATTGGATATTTTATACATGCAAGTGCAATACCGAGAAGTTTTACTATTGGAGTCGCAACTTTGTTTAGCGACTCCGACTCCGCTAAAAATGTTGTGACTCTAACTCCACATCCCTGGTATAGATGATTGTACAGTTTTTAAGCAATATGAAAATATTTTACATGCTCTAAATACATTTTTATTATGTGAGATTGTTATTTTGAGTATGGCTACAACATCATTTGCTAAACTTGCACAAGTGCAACTTTTAACAGAATATAACAAGTCTAAATAAATGACTGCAATTATGATTTAGGGAGCAATCAAAACAAGGAGATATTGTAAACTTTTCAAAATTTCAAAGAATAATGTATTTAATTGGTTTCAAATTAGAAAACTTGATATTTTCACGCACAACAAGGCTAATTACCGTCACAAAAAAATTGTAAGACACATAATATCATGCATAATGCTTTTAAGTAAAGTAACAACTTCTAATGATTGTTTAGTAAATAAACACATTTTACTTAAATCATGATTATTAAAAAATTTGTATTTAAGTATATATTTTTATCAATTAGTTTTTTAAGAAAATACACGCTACTTAAATAATAACTTAGTAAAAGTAAAACACCATGTTTAATAAAAAATAAAAAAATTATAACATATTTTATAAACAATAGTAATAAAAATTTAATTAAGTATAATAAAAATCTAACATAATTTAAAATTTAGTGAATATTTTCAAAATATAGCCGTATTAAAAATAGTTAATAGCCGTAGTCAAATTATAAAACAAAATATTATATCCCTGGTCAGTTATGGCATGCGATCGAACAGATTATTGACCAAGATGTATGTATGTATGTATGTATGTATGTATGTATGTATGTATGTATGTATGTATGTATGTATGTATGTATGTATGTATGTATGTATGTATGTATGTATGTATGTAGTATAGCATATATAGATATACATTTAGTGATTTTTTTGAGTACCTAATTCCATATGGTTTTTTTTTTAAAATAATAACAATAATAATAATGAAAACATTTATTGCTGCCCAGATCCAAACTAATAGTCAATGTAGCGGCACTTCCTTGCATCATACTTTCTTTATTTAGTTTGTTGATGTATGAGTTTTTTTTTTTTAATGGTCAATGTGAGCGCAATTGAATTTTGATACATGTTGTCTAGAGTGTTTGAATTGATATACATGTTGTATATCAATTAACAGATATTTGGTTAAACTTCAAATACCTTTTTCTTTTTTTTTAAGAAAAGAAAAAAATATTTGAAGTTTTTAAAATCTTTTTGTTATACATTATATTAAACAAAATACAAATGGTTTTATGCTTATATAATTGCTTAGATATAAAATTGTTTATTTGACTTACGCTTTCTCAAAGAGGGAGGGAGGATGTTTGGTAAAAACAAGTATTAGAAGATCATCTATTGTCTATTATCAACAGCAATCATGCAAAAACCTTGATGCAAATAGTGCAACCTGCCATTTCGCTTTAAAAGTTCATGGGATGGTTACAAAGCAATAATATTAAAGTATTTGTAAGGCCTCCCAATTACCCATGTTAAAATCTTATTAATTTCTATGGCACATTGCAAATAATATTACACAAAATTTATTAAAATTGCAAAAATTTTGCACATCACTGTAAAATACTGAGACAATTTCAAAAAATAGCCTTTTGATTGTAGCCCCCACAACCCTTGAAAAAATTAAAAAAAAAACAATAAATTGTAAAATAGATATTATAACAACTTATAATATTAATGATTAAAAAAACACATGTTTGCACATATGGTTTTAAAGCTTATCTTTTAGCCATTGTTGGGTAATTTTTGGAATTTTACTAAGCTTGTCATTGTTGTAAACTGTCATATATTGCACACCTAAATTATGTGCAGTGCAACACTTATTAAAATGTTGCAGTATAGTTTATTATAAATTGCATAAAAAACAAGATTAAAACTTTTTTACGTAAAAGACTAACCATTTGCCACACTTGCATGATATTATCTTCAGAAACACTACATATGACCCATGGCTCATTTGGATTCCATGCAAAGTCTGATATTTTAGCTGTATGGCCACCATGTATAAACTAAATAAATAAAAAAAAAATTAAAAAAAAATGAAAATTTACATTTTTTAATTTTAATAAGTATTAAAATAATTTTGATTGAGTATATTTGTCATATTTTGAAATTAAGTATTAATAAATCTAGCTTGCAAAGTTTCTTTTTTAACGCAGAGACAATTTTAAATGTGGTAATGGAATAGTTGTCACCTCTTTAGACAGATTTTTTTAATTTATTGATTTCACGATTTAAAATTTATTTTAGTATATTATTAACAATAAAATTATATTTATAATATATAATATAATGTATAAATATATATACTGCCGTCCTAAGAAAAAACGCAGTAATCGCAAAAATTGAAAAATCGAGATTATTGCACCAAACGTTTTAACATCGTTTTCTGTGTAATAACGCTCTATATAAAAATATTGTGGTATATTCCGAAGTTATCAAACCCATAGTTCATTTTGCCGTAAGTTAAAAAAATATATACACACAAAATTTAAAAGTGGCTTTTTCTCAGAATGTCATTTTTGTTGTTTACTGCGTTTTTACTTAGGGCGGCAGTATATATTAGCATACGAAAAAACTATTTAAAAGTATTTTGTTGGAAAATAATTAAAAAACACTAACAGTCAACTAAATTTAATCAATTTTTTTTTTTTTTTTTTTTGTTATTTCAACTCCCCAAGGCCGAGAAGGCCATACAGACGAGAAGGCTACTTAATTGTGGTTATAACCCTCTCTCAACTCTATAACTCCAAAACACAAACCTTGATGAACAAGGCCGCTGCGCGGAGAAACAAGTTAAGCACGGTACTACCAGGGACACGGTGGGGATCAAACTCAGAACCTCGCGCTTATGAAGCAAGCGCTCTACCACTACACCACTACCGCATGAATTAAAAAAAAAAAACTTTCTTTAAAACTTTAGGCTTTAATTCACGATTTTTAAAGACTGTCTGGAATTATAATGACCCATAAGAATTATGAAATACTTTGAGGACTTAATAGATTTTGAAAACAAACTTACCTCTAAATACAGTAAAGATTTTAGAAAACATAAACTTTAAGATGATTCTCAATTTAGTGCTAGTTTTTTAATTTTCAAATAAAGTATTTAAATAAATATTAAATTTCTAATTTTTTACAGTTAACTTTAAAATATATATTTAAAACATTAAAAACATAGTTTCTTGAATATTTTTCTCCATTTTAAGTTAAAAATATTTTCATAATATTTTCATAATATTTTCTTTATGTAATATTTGTAAAATTATAAGTATTTAAGCAAACTCTTAATTCTGATGCTTTCATTTTAGATATGGGAGAAAAAAAAGAAGGCCTATCACTAAAAAAATTAAGGCACTCCAAACAATTTTTTAAAACTCAAGGTTTGAGTACAAAATGTACAGAAAAAATAACTAATATGATTAACTTGACAGCAAAGAGGGTAAATGTGGAAAGAAAAAAAATCCTAAAGTTCCAAGGTAAAAGGATACTAAGGTTGTTCTAGAAAACCAATGATGCAGTAACTGAAAAGATGGAACAATCTGGTGTTAATGTCGAAAAAAAGTCATTAAATGTTCTCTACATGATCTTGATTTCAGTTAAGAATGCTCAGCTAAGACGCACAAATTGACACAAAAAATAATGCAAATAAAAATTTAACCCAAAATAATCCGAAATGTAAAAATAAAAGTTGGATGTTAATGAATTTTAAAAAATAACTTTTAGATCAAACTTTTAAAGATTTTCTAAACAACCCTCGGATAACATTTTCATGTATGCTTTAGTGGCATATTATTGTTTAGTACATTAAAAAGAAGACAAGAAAAAAGTACTTTATAAACATATTTATCATTCGAAATTTTAAACATCCTACATCAGTGATGATCTGATCAGTGATATGTGGAAGTGGTATGGGGAGTCTCTACATTGTCAACGGAATATTGAACCAATTGGTTTGGTATATGTGAAAAGAAAATCTTGCTTATCCAGGAAATTCTACTGACTTAAATTGTTCAAAACTCTTTAAGGATATTTAAAGAAAATATTACAGAAAAGACATGCAAGGAAGTTGCTGATAAATCAACTGAGGGTTTGGGTAGAGAGCAGTGATAAGTTTATTTAATTACTTATAAAAAAAATTTCTTTTTTAAAAAACCTCAGAAAATTTGGTTGGCAAAAAAAGTTTTTTTTTAAAACTAATTCATTCCCAACAAGCAATCATTATTAAGTTTATAGTAAATTAAAAACAAAGCATAGTGTGAAAGAGCAAGAAAAAAGTTGACAAAAGACTTGTAATATAAAAGTTACAAGTTGTATGAGTTGTATTAAAAGTTGTAGGCTGCATATATAGGAAAACATGAAGATGGGAGAGAGTTCAAAATGACTAATGTGCAATGAAAAAACTAGATAAATAAAAGTTTTTAGAGTGTGAATGGACAGATAAAGTAAAATTTAAATGATAAGTAAAGCAACAATGAGTTTCTTGTTGGTGGAAAGAGGTTTTCATTAGAAGAAACAGATCAAATATGATAACAATTCCATACAGGGAAGTATAAGAGATTTGAAGAGGTAGAGAATGAAAACAGGAGTATGAAAATGGCAAACACAATAAAGAGAAGAAACCTTAGCAGATACTAACTTTACAGTGGATTGCATATATGGTTTATTCAAAAGGTCTGCAATAAATGATATTCCAAGAAGACATAAAGTAGAAGATTCAGCAAGGGGGTTGCTATCCATTAGTATAGAAATCTCAACAAAATTGTGTTTAAATTTAAACTGATTTTTGTAAGAATTAAAATTCACAAGCCACTGCAAGCCCCAAGCTGTTACAGAAGAGAATCAGATTCAAGATTAGCTGATTTAAACAATCAATAAGAGTAAAAACTTCATCAAGACAGGATATAAAAATAAGTTGTCAGCAAATACAGCTACTTTAGATGTATTTTTGTCAGAAAGAAAATTAATGCAGATAAGAAACAGTACAAATCCAACAGGACCATTTAATAATTCATAAAAAACTCTCTATGCTTTCATCCAATGCACAATAGAATTTTTCAGTCTCAGTAGTTAACAAAGATAAAGGTGATAGGGAACATATAAGAAAGGTTAAACAATTCAAACCTTATTTCTCAATATATAGGTGAATTGATGTGTAAGTGAACGCCAAGCTATTGATGTTACTATTCGTATATGAATCTAAGACTAATAGCCATCAACACTGAGATTGGAAGAAAATAATTTTATTAATTGCAAGGCCGCTGGGGACAAAAAATGGCTTTGGAAATACCTTTGTTATAACTCTTGGTGGAGTCTTGTCTCTGTCACCAGAGTACAAGGTGCTATTTCCGTTTATCGTTGAGTGTGACAGCGTGAAGTAAGACTTATTGTCAAGGACAACTGATTTTTAATAACATGTTAATAACACATTTATAAATAGCTAATTGCCAATTCATAAAATAATTTTATTCTTTGTTTAGTAAATGAAGTTTTTTCTTTGCAAAGCAATGTTTACTTTTTATGATAAATGTTTCTTTATAGTAAACAAAACAAAAATAAACATTTATAAAAAAATAAAAATAAAACATTGTTTATATTTATGCATAGAACACGTAACTTTGTTAAAAGTCTACTTTTTTATCTATTTTCTATTTCAATAAAATTTCTTTTAAAAATTTAATAGTTATTTAATGTTTTTTTTTAAGTTTTCTCATTAGTTTAGTTTGGCTTAGTTCTTTCAGCGCATTTTTAAAACACTTGAATTGTCAAAACATGCCAGCAGCCATGGTCAAGTTTTCTAAAAAAATTATTATATGCATGGCCAAACAAGGTATGCGACTGCATGCCTTTCTCGTAACAGCCTAGTTTAATGAACTTTGCTTTAAATTACTTTAAATACCACAAATATTTGTAAAAGAAAACAAGGAATTAGCGACTAATGTGATTGCCTCAGTCCTGCTAGTTAACCCAAAGTTGTAACTAATGGCTTCTTATGTGGTCTTAACAATGCACACTAAAAGCACTAACTGGGTCACCATCCATACGCAACATGGCACTGTTAATACACTGATATTTTACATCTGTTGATGGAATGAGCCTCCCTGAAATATACTACAAAGTTCAAAAATGTTAAAAAACCAATAATTTTTGCAAATGGCACTGGAAAGACTTAATATATATTTTGTAAAATATTTATGTTAATTGTATTTGTTTAACTATAGAAATTAGCTTAAAATAGCAACAACTATGATATAAAAATTTACTAATAATTCTGGAGGACCATCTTCTGCATCTTCTGCTGTCTGTTCTTCACCAATTTTGCTAAAATTAAATAATAAAAAAATTATATATATATATATATGTGTGTGTGTGTGTGTGTGTGTGTGTGTGCGTGTGTTTTGAATGTAGGAGTACCTTTCCTGTAGGTTTAGAAAAGTGCTAATGGTTAAAAACAGGGCAGAAAGGTATATTTAAGGAGGTTTTTGATTAATTTAAGAACTTGGCAGTCACTTTTTAAAATAAAATAACCCAACTTAAACAATATTTGTTAAAAATTTCTTTAATTTTAACATCTGCCTTGATAGTTTTGTTGAACAACATTTTTAGAGATCATTAAATCCTGGCCAGGAATCCTAACACAAGCTAAAAGCAACAAAAAATCTCAAAAAAGCAAAATAAAACCAATTAAAAATTATGTTCATTTGAAGGAACCAGTTGTTTATTTAAACTATTCCAGTATAAATATGCTAACTTTGAAGACTGATGCAGTTCATTAAGTCCTTTATTGACAATTTTTTGTGATAATAATACTAAGTTTGTTCTGTTTATGAATTTATAAACTTCATAAACAATTTTTTTTTTCCCAGTATAAATAGCATTTATCTCTGTATATAAAAGAAATTTATTATTTATAATCATAATTTATGATTATTTCTTTTATAATTAAAATTGGTTAACAGTCAAAAAAAAAATAATAGAAAAATAGATTTTTAGCTCTTGTTTTTATGATATATCAAGTATCAGTGAGACACTACCTTTTTATAAGAGCACTTTTTTACAACTTAACTTTTTTTTATAAAATATATCTGCATTACAGTCTTGCTTGGTCATTTACAATAATTTCCTGCTGAGTCATGCTTATATGGCCACAGCAAACATCAAAACTCAGACCTTCTAAAGCCATTGTTGTAACCACTGATTATAGCTGCACAAAATGACTTAAGGAAATATTTGGTTAAAATAATCTAATTTGACAAAAAAAAAAATGAATTTATATAATTCTTGTTTACCTAGTTTAATTAGTTGTAAAGAAAAGTAACAATATCAAAAACCTTTTTTTTTTCATCAATAGTTAAAGTACCTTAAATCCCAAACATGGAGTCTTCTATCTGTTCCACTTGATGCTAAAATTGTTTCATTATGAGGTGACCATTGAACCTTTATAAAAAATATATTTAAAAAATCTGATCTCAATTTTGAATTATCTTTCATTAAAAATTGAGACTAACATAAAAAAATAGGCAAACTATCATTAACATAAAAATTATTATTCATTAACTATTAATTGAGCATAAAACCCAAATTTTAAAATCTTATTATTTAAAACAGCAATATAACTAAAACCTGAAATATTTCATCTTTATGAGATTCAAATGAATGAAGTTTTAAACGTAAATTTCTTAAATCCCATAATGCAACAGTCTAACACAGATAAAAAAAGAAAAGTAAAATAATACATGCATAAACAAAAAATAACAAAATGACACTAAACTATTTAAAAATTAAGAAAAACTCTATGCACCTTATCAGCAGAACCAGTTGCAAGTATGAACTCACTGTAGGGGTTAAATGAAAGACAATTAACCTATTACCAAAAATATATATATATATATATATATTTAGTACAATTAAAATAAGACCACTAAATTCTAAAACCAATATTAATGGACCACATATTTTACTAAATTTTTTATAAATATACCTTTTATACTTATAAAATGACTATAAACATTTTTTTTTTTTTTGAAATTTAGTATATAAATTCATTTTTAGAACTGCATATTGATTATATATCAATTGATTTAACATTTTACAAAAATAAAGAAACAAATACCTCAGCAGTATGAGCATCTACAGTGTGACTTGGTTTATTGTTGCTGCTCCTCCTTGTGTCCCAACTTAACATAAAAATATTGTGCTTTTAGTTTTAAATAAATAACTATGAAACTATATATGTGTGTGTATGTGTATACACACACACACACACATATATATATAAATATATATATATATATATCCAAATGATAGACTGCCTGCCCAAACCAAACCCTCAGTCGATGTAGCAGCACTCCCTTGCGAGTCAGGCTATTTGTCATTTGTTGTAGCAGCACTCCCTTGCGAGTCAGGCTATTTGTCAGTCGA